CAGAGATGGAACTTTTCCACCCATGAAAACATTTTGGCAGGTTGTTAGGCAATTATTGCAAAGTTATAAAAGGAAGTCCAAAAGGAAAGATTACAGTTACAGCTTCTGAATGGTCTTCAAGGGCAGCCCTATGTAGAGCCGGTTGCAATAGTTCAGTGGTGACTCATCAAGGGCATGAATCACCATTGTGTTCTTTTCTGATTCAGAAAGAATGCAACTGATGCACCAGATGTACAAATGCTTTCCTGGACACAATCTTCATGAGAACCCCTGGATTGCGAACCAGCTCTGTGGGGTGAGGGCAGCCCCATCCAGAAGTATGGATGGCACATTATATTCAGAAAGCCTTGGAATCCACAGGTCTCCATCTTGCTGAGGCTCATTCTCCCCACCCTCCCCTAGCTGCCTTCATGCATCAGGTCAGGACCTTTACCACATTTCCTTTATAGTGAGGGACAGAGATATAAAACTTATCCACATACTGATAATACTTCACCCCTCACTGATGAATGACCTCTCCCAGCAGCTTTATGTAGATGTTTAGGGAGAAAAGGTTGAGCACAGCAATACCTCATAACAGAACATTTGCAGGCTTGATCTCTCCCACCACCAACTGGAATCAACTGCTCAAGAAGAGACCCCTTAGAACAGTGCCCTCTACCCCCAGCCCTTGCAGCAACCTCAGTTATCATGGTTGATAATATTGATGGCTACTAAAAGATGCAGTGAGAAGAGTCTTACTCCCCCATTTCAGTCTTGCCAAAGGTCATCTACCAGGATGACCAATGCAGTTTTGTCCCTGTACCCAGGCTAGAATCCCAACTGATATGGGACTGGATAATTTGAAATTCTCTGTAGCTGCAGCCCTGCTACCTTGTCTTCAACTGGACAATAGTGGTCTAAAATAGCAAGGTCAAGGGATGCATTCTTGAGGAGGGGCAGACCACCAACTCTTCACAGCAGGAGGCAAATGCCTCTCTCTGAAAGATGTATTTATCACTGCCCACCGCTAGACTTTACCTACCTCTCTGGTTGCTTTTCCAACCAGGAGGAACAAAGGTCTAGTCCACTGGTGGCCTAGCTAACAACCCAGAGCAACCTATCCAGGGCTCACAGGATCAATCTGATACTGGATAAGTATGCCAGATGTGCCTCTGCAACTTCAGCAGGACCTGCTCAGACTGGCTATTCCAGGTAGAATGTATTCACCCAGTATGATGCAACAGAGTGGGCTTGCTATAAATCCCTATTTCCTGCAAGATACAGGAGGAAGCCTGGAAGCCAGCTGTCTTTATTGTGGCCTTCCTCCTTTATAACAGCTTGCTCCCTAAGATGAGCAAGACCCCATCCAAAACAGGTAAGACTTTACCTTTTTACAGAGACTTTGTGGAATAAGAGTGGGGTATATTTCTTTCAGAATTCTTTGTCTTCGTAAATGAGAAGAAGACCATTGTGTATGCATATTATTACAGTGGTACCTCGGTTCACGAACTTAATTCGTTCCACGACTCTGGTCGCGAATCGAATTGGTCGTGAACCGAATCAAATTTTCCCATAAGGTTCAATGTAAATACGGTTAATCCGTTCTGACCCCTACGAATGTGGTCGCCAACCAATTTTGGTTGCCAACCGAATCAAATTTTCCCAAAAGATTCAATGTAAATACGGTTAATCCGTTCTGACCCCTACGAATGTGGTCGCCAACCAATTTTGGTTGCCAACCG